GAGGAGGGCTAAGTGACAGGGTCGGACTCGTGCGGTTATCTAGCAACACAGTGATGTTGGGGCCACAGTGCCGATTTAGGAAGAAGCAGCCGCATGCTCGAGTGACTTTAGGCCAGTGTCGGACTGCCAGGTCTTGACTAACATGTGCTACGGCTGCCACCATGGCCGTTTACATGTCCACCCCTTCCGTGCGTGGTTTTCATCATGAATATTTCTATCTTCCTTCCCAAGGGGTCCACGTGTTTAATACTTTTAGGGGCGAATAGAAGTTTTCCTGGCAATATATGACTCTGAGAGTGACTCGGAACCTCTGGGTGGGGGGCAAAGACAGACCTCCAGGGAGCAGGATGGGAAATGGCAGCCCCGGACTGCCCACGCCGACCCTGGAGGCCAGTGGTTCACCACCGACTTCTGGGAGTCCCTCGCCATCTGAATTTGCCATTTGCTAGTTGTGTGATGGTAAGAAGTTGAGGATCTGTCTCTTAAACACCCCCCGAGGAAAGTGTTCTGTTTGCTTGCCTCTGAACCGATCTATACTGAATGCATACTACATGCCAGACACAACGTCAAGTGCTCAAGACAGAAAGATGGACAAGCTGGGCTCTTTGGGAGGCTGAGGTGAGTGGACTGCCTGAGCCCGCGGGTTCGAGACCCGCCTGGGCAGCGAGACCTCATCTCTACAACAAATTAAAAAATCAGCCGGGCGTGGTAGCGCGCGCCTGTAATTCCGGCTGCTCGGAAGGCTGAGGCGGAAGGATCGCCGGAGCCCAGCAGGTCGAGGCTGGGGGGCCGGGAGCGGCCGCTGCGCTCCAGTCTGGGCAACCGAGTGAGACTCCAACTCAAAAAAAAAAAAAAGAAAGAAAGATGGACAAGTCAGTGAGTGAGGTGGGCAGGGGGAAGGCAGAGGAGGGCCCAGGGGGTGCTCGGGGTTGCTCAGCTGTCTTGTTCTCCAAGACATAGTTTGTGCCCCTGCCACATGGTGCGGGGGTGTGGCAGTTGGCGCAGGGTAGTTGACGTCCTTTGGGGTTACTGCTGTCCTCGCACCACCAGAAATGACTGTGCGTGTGAGTTCAGCACTTTGTGTCTCTGGGCCTCTAGTTTCCTGGCACTAAGAGCCTCCGTTTTCCTGGCACTAGGAAGGCAATGACTCAACTCTCCTGAAAAGCGTGGAGAGTCTGATTACACTGGCAAGCAGCACGTCCTTGCCTTAGACCAGAGGCTGGCAAAGTTTGCATTTGCCAAGGGTGCCTTTGTTGAGAAGAAATCTTCATGAGCCCAGGCGTAAATAGATCCAGGAGGGTCTGTGCTTGGTCAAGTGTGCCGGGAGGAGCCGCTGTCCTGAAGACAGGGCGCCTTGCCTGGTGCCACCCAAGGATCAGAGGGATGCAAGGACTTCCCGGAGTCCTGCCTGGAAGCTGGAGACAGACGCTTCAAGAAAGCTCAGGGGGTCAGATGCGGGGCAGAGTGGGCATTTGCTCCCACGGGCACCCGTGGAGCCTCCTGGATCTCCTGGCTGAATTGTGGTCAAGTGAGACTCGGGCAGCCGAAGGCAGAGACCTCATCTCGCATCTCTGATCACCCCCCAGTGCCCAGCACAAGTCCGTCGAATGAATGAAAGTCTCTGTGATTAACTTAGGTAGTGGCTCTTTTTGAGAGCACTCATTGTGTCTTGAGGTCTGCAACGGTTAATTTGTCCCAGATGGACAGTTGGCTCTCTTTTTGCTTGCTGCAATCTGCCACCTTGGGGCTAGCTCTTCATTCCAGCAAGAGAGGGGGACTTTGGGGGAAGCAACAGAAAGGCTAAGCAGTCCACAGGGCGTCCCAGAAGGAGCTGGAGGCCACACGATGCCAATTCTCAATGGCGAAAAACAGGGAGACCCAGCTCACACAAAACACCACCGGTGTCCCCGCCCTTCCCAAGAACCAGGCACCCTTCATCTACTGAGCACCACTCATTAGTGCTCTTGGGGCATCTCCATAAAAGGTGCCCATGGGAAGGTCTACTTGCAGGTGGGCGAATCCTTCACCCAGCAACTTTCTGTGTGCTGGGACCGTGAGACGCAGTCTTCATCAGTTACACGGTGGGATCATCATACCAACTCCCAAGGAAATGGAGTATTTCCTTGAACACTCTAAGACATTAACATGCCAGGAGGCAGGAGCTGTGTACCGCTGACATCATTTTACAGATGTGGACGCTAAGACTTGGAAGGTTACTAAGGCTCAAGGAACCAACCTCCTCAAGGTAACACAGCCTCTGAAAGGCAGAAATGATGGTTTCTCTCCATCTCCAACATGCTCTGCTACAGCACGACAGCCATTCACTCACTTGATGTTTCCAAAGCATCTGTGACATGTCAGGACAGTGAGTGTCCACGGCTCTGTGCTGCAGGCCTCCAACACTGAGCCAAACACACAGGACTCTCTGCCCGCGGGGAGGTCACATTCTGGTGCGTCAACCAGCTGGAACTCTGCCAACTCCCCAAACCCTCCCCAGCCATTTCTGGCCCTGGTGATGGCACACTTCCTTAAGTGCTGGAGCTGATGACGCAAGCTCCTGGCCCCTGATGGTTCTCGGCTTCCTTCACCATCAAGACGAGAGGAGCAATGGTTAGATCCGTAGCAAGACTAACCTACAAGTTGCTTTTTCATTCTCTGGTGGCAGATGTTGTTTGCAAGAGCCATTTGACTCAGATAAAGATGGCACGCATGGCCGCATTTGTAGTCACTGGTAAGTGCCTCTGCTGGGCGCGTTATATTTTGGGGTGAGTCGGGTGTTTCACAAGCCTCCAGGAGGCAAGAGCTGTGTCCTGTTCTTTGAACTCCCCCTTAACATTCTTGCTGTCTTTCAGGGAAGCTCTTAAGTGCGTGGGATACTATTAATTATTATTATTATTTTACATATCTTGCAGTATCATATTAACACATTCATATTGACGATGCTAATGATCTTTCCTGAACACCGTGTGGTGGACACTGCATCAAGCACTCGACGTGCATGATCTCATTTAATTCTTAGCATGACCTGCTTGCTCTTATTGCTATTTTCTTAGCTCTAATTAACAGACGAGGAAAACAAGGCTCAAAGTCACACAGTGAGGAACTGGGTGCCTGGGGGTGCAGCCAACAAGTCGTGGAAAGGAGAATGAAGGGAACCGGGGAATCTGGTGCCGCCCTGGTCTTTTCTTCTTAACCCTCTGCTCCTGCCTGCCCTGACCCTCTGCTCCAGACAACACCCACACTTCACTTCCTCTGATGAAGCCCTCGGCCAGGGGCTCCTTTTGGAGAGTACTTCCTGAGACCGTCTTGCGCAAGCAACTCTCGAGCCTTGGGGATGGTAGCTTAGGGACCGAGACCTGGAGCCGGGGGCACCTGAAGGTGCATCGACGTGATTTTAGGTTCTCTGGGAGTGTCCTGCACTAAATTGTTTCCATGCTACTGTACACGAAGTCGTGAGGAACTAACTCTGGGTAAGAGAAGTGACAGGCCTTTCATCTGTCTTCCTTAATAAATGGAAAATTTCCTTGACATGCCAGTCACATGTCAGTTTACGCATGCTCTTTCTTTCTGGTGTCCTAATGGCAACATGATGATATCTGCCATATAATCATCAACGAGGATGGCTCTTTGCATGCCAGCGGGCACCATTCCCACTGACTTTGTCAGTCTCTGCTCTTTGACGTCATCCTACGTACTTTTTGCACATAGGCTGTGAAACAGGGACCCGAGGGCAGCGAATTGAATGACGCAGACCTGCGTGAGGATCCAAGCGGACTCGCCTCGAACCTGCACGCACAGGTGTGGTTTCCAGCACTTCACAGGCACTGACTTATTTAATCTGCCTACAGCCCCCAGAGGATTATCATCATATCATGTCTAGGCATGAGGAAGCTGAGACACAGGGACATGAGAGAACTTGCTCAAGGTCACACGAGGCTGGCAAGTGGCCGAGCCAGGCTCTGCGCCTGCGCAACCCTGTTCCAGCAGAGGACACCCTCAGGTCCAGGGTCTGCTCTGCTCACACCTTTCCATGTCCCTTGTGACCTGACTCTTCCGTATCAACCCGTATTGGTGCTGTGCTGAATCTTGGGGTCAGAAAGGGAGGAAAGACACAGAATGGTGATGACACGCTTTAAGCCTCCAAGTTGTAGCTTTTGCCTTCAGACTCATGACCTTTGAGATACTGTTAAGGTTAAAACACATAGGAAGGTCTAAGCAAGCAGACGTTTTTAATGAGCCAGTTTAAAATGTCCCCCACCCAGGTTTTACCGTTTGAAGGTGAGGACGGATGCCATGTTCAGGCCATTGGGGATTCCCGGAAACGAGAGCACTTTCTGAGTTTATTGGCCTCACGCCTTTGAAGTGACAGGTGAGTTTTCAAGCGGGCTTCCACAAATCAAGCCCTGAATATTGCTCAGTGCATCTGTGGTGCGTGCCAAACAGGGCCTGGGTACATGCCAGGAGGTAACCTGAGGCAGCCACAACTTGTGTGCTTGTTCCCTTTCAAGTGATACATCAAAATAATGATGCCTGTGCTTTTTGGCCTTAGAAACATAAACCCAGGCAACTGATATGGCAAAGGAGAGGGACTCAGAGGAAGATTTTAATTTTAGAAAACAGGCCTCACTGTCAAAGGAATTGGCCTTTTTAATTCATTAAAAAATTATCACATTCCTTTGAAATGAGAGTAAAACTAATATTTCTTAATGCGTGTTCATCGTTAATATTATGCCAATTATTGCATCTTTCAGCTGATAAATATTCAGAGGCTAAACGAAGCCCACAAGATGGATTTTTTTCTCCAGCAGTACAAACAAAAATGTTCAATATTTTATGTCCCATAATTAAATGCTGCTTGTTGTTTCTAGAACCAGAACTTGGGACATGCTAATTAATTGCTTCAAGAAGACAGACGTGTTCCGTGGCTGGTATTCAGAATCCGATGTTTATGAACGCTGCATACCACTGCTGATGACAGACACCCACAGAACAAACCCTACCTGCAGAAGTCAGGGGGCACCATGCCGTAGACGTTGACCCTGTCGCAGAGCTCCAGCGCGATCGTCATGGTGAACCAGCCGGTGCTGAGCCAGGTGTTGGATATCTTCCTGGAAAGGACAACAACCCAGTCTGCAAGCTGGTGACACAACCGCGATGCGCACAGCCATCTTGAGTCCTTTCTGGAGTAAGGCTGGTTCTACACAGACCCTCCCTCTTTCTCTTTCTTTTTGGCAGACACCCGGAACGTTACCGGATTGAAAGCTCTTTCCAACATCACCAGATTCCACAGTGCAATCATAACTAATGTCGGTGCTCTACCATGGTGGTTTGTGTCACTGGAAGATGCTCAAAGGACTTCTACGCCATCAAAGATTAACCAGTGTTTCGATATCTAAGTGCACGTTACCACAACTCTGTTTCTTACAAGATGACGATCCCCATGTGACAACTCTCTATAACTAGAATACTTGACTAACTAGAAATTGTCCTTGCTCTCCAAGCAGACTAGACAACAAAGCACTTATCAAATATGAATAAGCATACAGATCTATCTATCTATGGACCAACTGATTGATTGGTTGATCTTAGGGTAAAAGACCTGCCTCCAAGTAGACTAATTGAGCACTAACATCTTGATGGAATGTCTCTCCTTAGGAAGATGGCACTCATTTGGGAAGGGGCTGATGGCCAGAGGGAAAGAGCCACAGGAATGCTTTATTAACTGAGTATTTGCTTTGTTTTACATGTCGGAACATTCAGGACCCTCTGACACTTTTAGTAGAAGATAAAAAATGGACAAAATTTAAGGAGTGAATCTGCACACTCCACCTCTCATTAATCTGCCCATTTGGACATCTGTATCGAGCTCCAGCCATGTGCTAATCCTGAGGATAATGGTGGAGACATAACATCAAGGTCTAATTTAACCCTGTGAGAATGACTCCGCCCACCATGCTCCACTGCTGTGGATACTAATTCCAATTCTCCGGGGGTTGCCGCTTTTACTTCTCTTCAGTGCTTATGGCATGCCTCATTAGCTGGTTCCAAACACCTTATCCCCAAGGTCAGCCTGTCTGACTTTACCCAGCCGCGGCACTGTTTGTGATGTGAATAACAGAGTTGCAGACAGGCTTTTCTACTTGCTCTGAGAGAAGGAAGACTTTTCGTTAAGCGGTTTGTATCATTATTTCCATCCCACATAAGGATCAAAAAAATTTTTTTTAAGGAGTCCTGTGTTTTGTTAAATTCTTGGCAGCCAGGGTTGGTTTAGTCATCCCTGAATTCACGGCTTCCACTTTTCATTCCTTAAGCTCTGTTCTCATTTTTCTCATTCCATTGTATTGTGAGCTGGTAACATCCCAGGAAACACATTTAAAAGCCCCCAGAGATGGGAATAACACAGCTCGAATCTTACCTGTTTCTGTCACAACCAGCTGGCTGACCCAAGGCGGGTTATTTCTGATCTCTGACCCTTGGTTTCTTACCTATAAAGCGGGCACAGGAAGTTCTGTCGCTGGGCTATTGAAGAACTAAATGAGAAAACCCCCACGAAAAGCATCAAGTTTGGTATGTTGACACATCGGAATCCCTTCTTCCTGTGTGGTTTGCTAGGTTGTGCAAACTAAGTAAATAACCCAGCCATCCCTTTGGGCGCTTTTTAGCACCCAGGAAGAAGATCCTTCCAGCGCTCTGCTGCTGGGGTCTTGTGTGGGAGCCACTGTCAGTGGTCAGGGCAGTCCTTACAAAATTCAGAGCTTCCAGCCCACACAGGTGTTAACAGTTTCCCTTCTTTTTGACCAGGGCTCTCTCCTCCTATGAGCCTTGAGGCTGAGAGGGGCTGACTGAATGGTGAGAGGCAAGAGGAACTATATTCTCCTTAGCACAAAGCTTGTCTTCACCTATAGCTGTGACAATGCACTGGGCAGGTGTTCTAGACCTAATCTTGATGCGTGAACAGTTGGGAGGATGTGGCACCCAGGAAGAGACGACAGCTCAAGTCCCGCCCCGGGAGCCGGGTCTGGGAGCCATACCCACATCTCTATGCTTTGGAGGGACTGGAGACACCGATGGGAATTTTTCCCAGGGGCAGAAACTCTCCTAGAATTTGGGCTGTCTTGTGTGTGATGTAGAGATCCCAAGCTACAGCCTGCTGAGATGCAGGAGGATGTGGCTCTCCAGAAAAAGGCTTCGTGGGCAAAATGGAGTGAATACAAAGTAAGGGGAAAAGGAACTGAAGGGAAGGTTCTTTAAAGTGGTACTTAAAATTCCCCAGACTTCCCAAATAACAGCCTGTGGGATCACGTGCTGCAGAAATGCAACTGCTTTGTGCTGTTTTTCTTGGAAAAAGAAATGTGAACTCTTTTCTAACAAAGGAACATCTACTGTTTTTACACTTAATCAGCTGTAATGAAAGAATATGAAGAGCTGTCATGTGCTTATTAGGGAAAATTATCAGATATTCTTTTATATGATGAAGTCACACACTGAGCTGATAATTCTACAGTGCACACTAAATTACAATTAAAGTCCTTTCTGCTCCAGCAGAATCTCATTTATAATCTCTATGGAAATATTCTTCCTGCAGTTATTTCATTTATGCTTCCTTTATCTAATTACTATAATATTGGTTCTGAATCATATTTTCCTAATGCACCCTTATTCAATTATAAAGTTATTTCCAAGTACAGTTACATGCTAATATCAAAGAATACCACTTGGCCATCTATGTCATTTGTCACGCTTCTTAATTGCAGATCGTTCCCAAGTCATTTTTTCCTTCACTTTTAAGTAGGGTAAAAGTCTACAAATCAAAATCTAGGGAATTATCCCATTTCTTCAAAACATTAGCTCAAAATGAATGTTCTGACCATGAGGTCCACAAGTTTGTTATTCTACACTTTATGTGTCTTCCATACATGTTTGGTTGAGTTTCGAGAAAAGCACACGCGGAGAAGATACCATTACACCCCACATGTTTTGTGTTTTAATTTATAGAAACAGTTTTGTTTTGAAAGGCCGTTTCTGACTTGGTCCTTTTCACTTGGCTGAAGGCTAAGAAGAGTGAGTCAATACAGCATCAGCTTCCTCAAGACAGTCTCCTAAAGACACGAGTCAGCACATTTCTGGAAGTGGCAATGTCCTTTGGCACCCTCCAAATTCCTAAGTGTGACTCCCTTGAGTGCAGACCCTGGTAGACGGGCTATCTATCTCACTGAATTAAAAGTTTCCTGAAGCCATATCTCACCATGCTTACTCTGTGAGATGAATAGTATCTGTTCTGTTCCATTCCTTTGTATTCCACTCCTCCCGTCGCGACAGAGAAACCGCTTCAGCCTCATGACACAGATGTCGTATCTCGTTACTGAACTGTAGCCAGCAGCTGGAAAGCACCGTGCTGGCCTGTGGCCTGTCTCCCTGCCCTGTGAGTCCCAGCACCACTTTCCCCCCTCACATGACCCTCCACACTGGCTGCCGCCCAATGAATGTCTAACACTGAATATCCTCAGAGGGCAGGGACCTGCGTGTGTGTGACTGTACCCCCAGTGCCAGGTGCAGTGCCAAGCACGTAACAGGAACCTCATCAGTATTGGTTGACTGAATCCATGTTTGCCTTTGAATGGGAAAAAGAAACCCACACATTTCCTTTTGGTCAGCGTTCACAGAAATAAAATGAAACGCAAGAAAGCTACGAGATCGCACTTTCAACCCGTGCAGGCCAGCAGCGGTGAAGCTGCTTCCTCACACATGGGACTTGGACCCTGAGTTGTTCACGTCATTGTCTTCTTTCCACGGGCCTCAGCCATCCAGCTGGGGCAGCCCGTCCCCAGGACGACGGGGGGGTGAGCTCCATCAGGGACATGGGAGCCGTGGACCCGCGCCCACACCTGTCAGCCCAAGTTGCCCATGACACCACGCCGTGTCCCCAGCCTCCCCGGCGGCGACCTCCACCCCCCGCCGCCCCCGGCGCGCGTACCTGTCCTTGCCCGTCTCCCGCTTGAAGAGCTCGTCGAACCGCAGCATCTTGTGGCGCGTGATCATGAAGGCCTTCAGCCGGGGCAGCACCTGGCTCAGCAGCTGCAGGTTGTTGTAGACCCGGCCCTTGCCGTCCCGCCGCATGTAGCTGCTGGGGCCCCAGAAGACGAAGACGGTGCCCTGGCTCACATTCAGCAGGTCGTGGCGGTTGCGCAGGATCCTCTGGATGCTGGAGTGCGCGATGACCCTCAGGCTGGTGCGGTGGCCCACGTCGCGCCCGTAGCCGCGGGTCGGGGCGTCGTTCATGCGGATGACACACTCCGCCCGGTCGATCTGGGCGCCTCGCCGGCTGCGCAGCAGGTGCCCCGAGCTGGTCACCAGGGCGCAGTCCCGGCAGCGCATCCTCAGGGGCTGGAAGGCGGGAGGGGAGGGCCACCGTCAGGGCGAAGGGCTTGGCCCTCGGCGACGCCAGCAGGCCCCCGAGGACCCCTCCCCTGAGGGTCCTCCGCGGACCCGCCCGCGCTTCCCGACCTGGGGACCGCGGCGTTGGACGAGACAGAAGGGACCGAGCCCTGGCCTGCGCCCTGGGCTAAGGGCTTTGCTGATGCTGAAACGCCAGATCGCCCCGGCCTCAAGCCAGCAAGCCTACTCCTGCCTCTTCCTTTTACTTTGCAGATGAGGGTACTCGGGTTTAGAGGCGAGGACATGGGCCCAAGGATGCGTGACTGGCCAGCGCTAAAGTCGTGCTTTCGGAACCCAGCTCCCCGCAAGTTGAAGCAAAGACTGCCGTGCGAATTGCTGGGACACCAGTTTGCATGCTCTTACCTCATCCTGCTGAGAGTTAAGCATGCACTCGTATTCTTGGCAGCGGGACAAATGTGTTTATTCCGAATAGATGTGATCTAAGAATCACGTGGGAAATGACATGGAGATTGTAACCCCTCAGAAGCCACGATGTTGAAAGGATTCTCCCCCCCCGCCTTTTTTTTTGAGTTGGAGTCTTACTCTGTCGCTCAGACTGGAGTGCAGTGGCACACTCACGGCCACCCCAGCGTCAACCTGCTGGGCTCTGGCGATCCTTCTGCCTCAGCCTTCCAAGTAGCCGGAATTACAGGGGCAGGCTACCATGCCCAGCGAATTTTTTATATTTATTGTAGAGATGAGGTCTTGCCAAGTTGCCCAGGCTGTTCTTATACCCATGGGCTCAGGCATTCCTCTCACCTCGGCCTCCCAAAGTGCTGGAATGACAGGCTTGAGTCATTGTACCCAGCCTGTTTCTCCCATTTTAAGGGGCAAGGAGAAAAACCGAGGCGGCCCATCTTTTGTAAGTGCAAAGAAACCTCCAGTTCAGAGCCACAGACCTCATGCAGGATGGCGGGGCCTGGGTCCTTCTCTCGTCTGCAGTGAACAGGCACCCTGGTGAGGTCCTGGCTGCATGGGATCCACCGGGGGTGACTCTGAGGCAGTGCTCTGTTCAGCGCCCTGAACCAATGATTTGCTTTCTGAACACCTACACTCTAGCAAATTAAACATTCCTGTGTCCATGTTGCACGAGAAATATTCCAGTTGCTGTTTGAAGATAACGAAATTAGGGCCCAAGGCCGAGGCCAGCGAGTGTGCAAAAACAAAACAAAATAAAATAAAAAGACAATCAAGCCGGACTCGGTGGCTCAGCCTGTAATCCCGCACCTTTGGGAGGCTGAGGTGAGTG